GGAGTCATGGGCAGGCCTAAGAGCAGTGTGTTCTGGCTCAGACTTTCCCTGGGCTACCCTAGCGACTGTTAAAGGAGATGTGGGGTGAGGGGGCAGAGGGACTGTCAGACGGCTGCTCTAACACCCAGGTGAATGATGGCGGGGCTGGCTGCGACAAGTGGATGGGCATTGGACACATTTAGCCAACAAGATTTCCAGAGCGTGGAGTATGGGCTAAGGGAAGGGGCCCTGAGATTCTGAGGTGTTTATCCCAAGCAGCTGAAGCAAAGGGGTCATCTTCACCCAAGATGGAGAAGCTGTGAGCGGAGGAGGCAGTAGAGGAGAGGCGCTTGGTTTGGATGATTTCGGTTAGACAGATGGAGATGTGGGAGGGGCGGTGGGTACCAGTATCTGTGGGCTGGAAGACTGGCTGAGCTTTCAGTGATTGCCCCATTTTGCAGGTGAGGAAAATGAGGCCCCTGCAAGCATTAAAAGGAGCAGCCAGGATCCAGCTTTGGCCTCTGGCTCCACAGCCATGCTCTTCTCACAGCATGGACAGGAGGCTGCTGGCCATTCTTCCCAGCAGCAGCCCAGCTGTTCCCTGGCCAGCTTCCTTGTCTTCAGGGCTGAGCCAGGAAGGAGCCTATGCTTAGAAACAAGTGGCACCAGTGCCAAGTGGCCTGAGGCGCCAGCAGCCCCAGGAGTGCAGCCGGCCTGGCCTGAGGCTGCCGTCCCCGCAGCAAGAGAGCATTCGGTTAGCATCGATTGCTCAGAGGAGAGCAGCTGGCCAGGCTGGGGGCAGGGGAGCACTGAAGGCCTGAGAGACTGGCTGCATGGCAGAGCAGCCTGCAAGCTTCAGTGAGACCCACTGACCTACCCAGGGCCCTGGGGAAGCTAACTATGGGGATGACCCTATGCAGAGGGAAGGAGAGCCACCTTGGGTGCTAAGCTGAAGGGAATTTCCTGACGCTTTGGAGCCTGAGAAAGCTGACCAGCCCAATTGGAGGCTGCTCTGCCCACTCCTGGCATCAGCAAGCTAAGGCTAGAGCCCTAGTGACTAGGCAGGGCCTGTCCACTGCTGTGTTCTCTAGCTATGACCAGCCCCTGGGGCTCTGGGCACCTCATTTTCTCCTCTCGGAGCAATGCTGCTAAGGGTTTCAGTCAAGGACCCTAATCCCAGAGTCTTCCATGTTAGTTCCCTTCCTGCTTCTGCCAGGGTGCTGTGGGCCCTGACTCTACAGGATTGTGCAGCCTGGGTATAGAAAACAGGCCCTATTGATGCTGGTCCAGTGTGAAGCTGTCTGGCCACCCCAGCCCTGGGTTTCCCTAGCCTAGCTGAGCTGAGGTTACAGTCTTCCTTATAGCCTCTGCACTGTTAGAGGGGGTGGGAAATACAGGCCCACTTTCCCTCCCCCAGTGTATGCTGTTCTGTTGCATTTGCCTTGCCATCCCTAGGTCTGGTCCCATGGGCACATCTGGTGAGGTGGCTGTCCATGCTCAGCTTGGCAGAGAAGTTTGGGGTTTGCGAACTGACCTGAGGATGCTGCCAGCTCCCTTCCTCTGGGAGGCTGAGGAACTGCTGGCGTTACACAGGAGACCGGCAACCAAACAATGCTGACTGGTGGCCCAGGGGTAGCAGAGGCTTTAGCCTCTTCCTTTACTTTCCCTATACCCTCCGGGTACCTATCCAGGCATTGCCATGTCAAATGGGCCGTGGCGCTGATTGCCAGGCCCTTCACACACTTCTGGCTTCTGTGACTCTCCCAGGCTCAGGGGCAAGTGTGAATGGAAGAAGGAATGAATGAGGCTGGAGAGCCGCTGGGGAGCCCCAGTGCGTGGGAGGCTGGAGGTTTGGGAGAAGCGGAACACAGTGAAGGGTATCCCCTGGAGGGGAGGAAGGGGAGCTGGGTCTTCTCCCTTCAGCCCAGGCCAAGGAGCCTGGCAGGAGGGTGCAGGGCCCCTCCATGGAGACTTGGATTCCTGCTAATTTGCAATCTTAAAATGCACAGCAAAGGTTCCGTTCTCATTGTCGGTACATTAATCAGGCAATCAGCGGGGTGGGGCTCCCAAGGGCCTCATGGAGGGGGGCATAGAAGGCGCCATAGTGATGCAGTGCCTGCCTCCTTGGGAGGAAACCTATTGGGTGAGGATCCTAGGACTGGCACCTGCTGGCTCAGACAGAGGGTCCAGAGTGGCCAGGGCTGGCTGGGACAGCTAATTCAAGGTCTTGGGGTAAGACCGCTGACTTTCAAAGGCATAGATGCCAACTTGGCTGAGCCCCTCAACACCCCCCCCCCCATTAGGCAAGATGGAGGTTCTGGAAAGCTAGCTCCCCGCCGCGGGCCCTGGCATGTGGGAAAAGGCTAGAGGACAGGGATGAGCGGTCCTGAGCCTGCATCCTATTAGCATGCTTCCAGAAGAGCCCGCCACTGCAGGAAGTGACTGTCCTGCATGGTCCTTGTGCTCTCACTGCCTTGGACCTAGTGATGCTAACCTCCTCTTCCTTGAGGTAACGGGAGAACTGTGCCTGGCTCTGTGTTAGGTCTTGGCCAGAGTCTTGTCTTCCTATTGCCCGTGTAGAGGGAAAACCACAGTCCCACCTTCACCCTTCTCTGCCATCCACCTCTTCCACTTGCCGCCGTGAATTCCACTTGCCGCTTAGTGGGGTCGCTAAGCCCACACCTGAGGATTAGAGCTGTTTGAGTTTTTTAAACCTAAATAGAGCCCTGGCCTGGTTTTCCCTGTGTACTGGTATCCCCTGGAGACCTCAACCTAAGGGGTAATCCCCCCCAAGGGACCCCCAGATTCATCCAGGGTGCACAGAGACAGAGCAGCCACGCAGGTGGGAGGGCACCGCCCAGAGCAGACTGAGGGTGTGGGCTAAGCACTCTGTAAACGCCGATGAGCTGTACAAATGTTGGATGGGATTAGTGATAAGCCCACCGCAGCCCCTACCTGCCTGCAGCTGCAAGCCGGGGAGGAAAAGATTTATTCTCGCAGGACCCCCAGTGGAGGCTCTGCTGCGTCTCCTTCAGCCGAAAATGTGGGACAAGCATCATGAACGTTCTTGAACCTAGAGTCTGGGCTTTCTCAGAGCAACAGGGATAGGGCCACTCCTTGGGGAAGGTTCTGGCAAGAATGGCCTTCCTGGAAGAGAGCAGCCTGAGCAGGAGAGAGACTGCAGGCCAGGAGGTTGGAGGGGCCCTGTGGATGGCACAGCCTGTGTGGGTTAGATCCTGACGGCACAGGGTGGGCTGCCCTCCAGCCGACTGGGATTTGCCTCCCTCCGCAGCGCAGGCATCCTCAGACAGAGGCTGGTGGGCTGGAGGCCACACCCAGGTCTCCAAGGAGGAAGATGACAGAGTAACATCTAGACATGTTTTGGAGAGGGAAATTGAGGCCCGGGTAGCTATAAGCCCACATGCGGTCTAGTGGCTGGCTGGCAGGAAGCACTGCAGAGCTGCAAAGCATGGCCCATCCCAGAAAGGGTCCTGTGCTGTGCCACCCCTGCCACTGAGGTCGTAATTGCTCTCAAATCACAACTGAACCCAATTATGCAAAAACTAAATTATCTGCGATGATTTTTATGTGCTGGAAACGTTCCGCTGAAGCCGGGTGATTACAGGGGACTCGAAGCAGCTGCCACTCTCTGGGAGCCCATAACTTCCAACAGCTGGGAGCTGTCGCTCACTTCCAATGCTGTTTCTGTCGGGAATGGGAGGGGGGTTGGGATGGCAGTCACGGTGGAGATCTGATCGGCCAGGGGCCTGGCCAGCCCCTGGACCTGGGTAGTAGTGGGTCTGGGACCCCAGGTGGGAAAGCTGGTCAAGAGGGCGGCTTCTTTCATCTCACATTCTCAGGGCACAGCTGACAGCAAGAAGACTCAGCTCATATGCCCCAGGTACCCCGGTTCTCCCAAGAGTCCCAGCTGAACAAGCTGGAAAAGAAGAGGCAGGAGGCCAACTGAGGCAGCAGAGGTCATGGCTGCCTGGCTCTTCCAGGGTGGGCGTCTGTAGGCCTAGAGCCTGTCCTCATCTTCTTGATGTGCCTGCTGGGCTGCTTGGGGCAGCTGTGACCCTGGAAAAAGGCAGGTAATGACAATCGTCCATAATGAGGCTACTTCAATAATGAGCATGGGCCTATTACCCGACCACAGGCTGGACACATCCGAAAATAATTATTTTAAGGATCCATTAACGAATGCCTAATTAATGCCCAATTAGAGGGAAGCTACAGAGGAAATGCTCTGGACAGTCAAGAGGCAAAGCCTGGTTTTACAGCCACAGCCTGGCAAGCTCAAGCATGGTAGAGAGAGGCAGAGGGCCAGAAGGTGAGCCAGAGGGGGGCAGCCTGGATCTGGCAGCATCACGAACCCCAGGGAAGCCTCGTGCGTCAGCCCTGGTGTCACTCACAGCTCCTCACAGAAGCGTGCCTTCTCTGTATACCTGCTCACTCTGTGAGCTGTATTTAACAATAGAGAGAGCCGAGGCGCAGAGGAGGCATCGTGTATTTGAAGTTTGGACCACGATGTGAATGAGGCATCTTCTGAGGTATGTTTTGGCATCACGAACACAGTGCTTTCCTTATTTTGAGGGATTCTTTAACTAAAGTGACCAGTCAGGACTCCAGATGGGATCTGTGCTTTGTTGGAGTCATTACTTGTGAAGGCGGCTATCAGCAAGCAAGCAGAGCCGGGACCAGGGCTGGAGGCTGACACGCTGAGTTCACTGCGTGCTCCACCCTGCAGTAGGGCTGACAGGGTCTCAGAGGTGTTTGGATGGAAATTAGAGACATCAGGGACAGAGCTAAAGAGGTGTGGCGACAATGTGGGCCTTGGTCCCAAATTTCCTGTCCAGCCTCCTAGCCCCAGGGGCCCCTGTGTACAGTACAGAAGATGGAACCTCCGTTGAGTCGAGAGAAACGTTCAGCGGTCCCCACTCCACCCAGAATTCCGCCCTCCCCCCACCCTCCCAGCATCTCCCCTCTCTGGGCCCCCTCACAGCTGTTCTGTCTCTCCCCAGCAGGGTGCTGTGTGGAACTGCTGCTGTTGCTGCTGGCTGGAGAGCTGCCCCTGGGTGGGGGCTGTCCTCGAGACTGCGTGTGCTACCCCTCGCCCATGACTGTCAGCTGCCAGGCGCACAACTTCAACGCCATCCCTGAGGGCATCCCCGAGGACAGTGAGCGCATCTTCCTGCAGAACAATCGCATCACCTTCCTCCAGCGGGGCCACTTCAGCCCCGCCATGGTCACCCTCTGGATCTACTCCAACAACATCACCTTCATCGCTCCCGACACCTTTGAGGGCTTTGTGCATCTGGAGGAGCTGGACCTTGGAGACAACAGGCAGCTTCGAACGCTGGCGCCTGAGACCTTCCAGGGCCTGGTGAAGCTTCACGCCCTCTACCTCTATAAATGTGGCCTGAGCGCCTTGCCCGCAGGCATCTTTGGTGGCCTGCACAGCCTGCAGTACCTCTATTTACAGGACAACCATATTGAGTACCTCCAAGATGACATCTTTGTGGACCTGGTCAACCTCAGCCACCTGTTTCTCCATGGCAACAAGCTGTGGAGCCTGGGCCAGGGCATTTTCCGGGGCCTGGTGAACCTGGACCGGCTGCTGCTGCATGAGAACCAGCTACAGTGGGTCCACCACAAGGCATTCCACGACCTTCACAGGCTGACCACTCTCTTCCTCTTCAACAACAGCCTCACGGAGCTGCAGGGTGACTGTCTGGCCCCGCTGGTGGCCTTGGAGTTCCTTCGCCTCAATGGCAACGCCTGGGACTGTGGCTGCCGGGCTCGCTCCCTGTGGGAATGGCTCCGGAGGTTCCGTGGCTCCAGCTCTGCCGTCCCCTGCGCAACCCCTGAGCTGCGGCAAGGCCAGGACCTGAAGCTGCTGAGGGTTGAGGACTTCCGGAACTGCACGGGACCGGCATCCCCACACCAGATCAAGTCGCACACGCTCACCACCTCTGACAGGGCTGCCCGCAAGGAGCACCATCCATCCCATGGCGCCTCCAGGGACAAAGGCCACCCACACGGCCATCTGCCTGGCTCCAGGTCAGGCTCCAAGAAGCCAGGCAAGAACTGCACCAGCCACAGGAACCGAAATCAGATCTCTAAGGTGAGCGCTGGGAAACAGCTTCCTGAGCTGCAGGACTACGCCCCTGACTATCAGCACAAATTCAGCTTTGACATCATGCCCACCGCACGACCCAAGAGGAAGGGCAAGTGTGCCCGCAGGACCCCCATCCGTGCCCCCAGTGGGGTGCAGCAGGCCTCCTCAGGCACGTCCCTGGGGGCCTCACTCCTGGCCTGGGTACTGGGGCTGGCGGTCACTCTCCGTTGAGGAGCTGGGGCACTGGCTCCCAGCACTGCCACACATCCAGCAAAGAACAGAATCTTTTCTTCTTCTTCTTCTTCTTCTTCTCCTTTTTTTTTTTCTTCTAAGTGGAAGATCTGCTGGGTTTCAGGAAAAGGCTGCTAAAGCCTTCAGCCACAGTCTGGACCCTTCCTGGTGGATGATAAGCCCAAAGTGTACAGCCGTAGACAGGAGGGCTGACACACTCACCAGATGTCCTGGCGGAGCACCTTCGGACAGCACCCACTCCGCACAGTGGTCAGAGGGGTCAGTAGTGACAGGACATGTGCCCCATGAAGAAACTGAGTTCTGTGGGATCCTGCTCATTTGGGAAGAAGGGCTGAAGGACCCTGCTGTTTTTGGAAGGAGCAGGACTCAGAACAAGGCTCATCCAGAGACAACTGAGGCAACCAGCAATCTCAGAGCAGTCTTGGATCTTGCCTGAGGCCATTTAGTTAACCTGCCTCGTTGGTCCAACCCTATGCCACCCTCAATTCCTACCTGTGGGGGTAATGCCTCTCATTCCTGCTGTCTCAGGCAGTCCTGGCAGACCTGCTGGGGTTCAAGAACCAATCACCAAAGGAGAGATCGCCAGAGGATGACATTTAGAACTTTCCTCGCAATGAGAGTCACACAGAAGGTGCAGTTTTATACCTATGTCCACGTATATATAGTCTCACCCCCCACCCACACATCCACATAATATATATATACACAAATATACAAATGCACAGGTCCCCACCCCACTCCTTAACAAACTGTATGTCTCATCATGTTTATAAACTATATGGGAACCTATATTTGCTCAACTAAGGACTGTATTGGTAATTTCTAGCAAGCAAAAGAGCTGTGGCATTTTTGTTCAGAATCCCAGCTGGCAACAATAGGCCCTGGGCTTGTTGGAGCAAAGGTGTCAATGGGAAGAGTTGAAGAGGAAGAGAAGCAGTGAGAATCACTTCAGGGGACCAACAGTCTTAGCTACTTAGAATGTCACCTTGTTTTTATATGCAACACATGCCTGTCTGGCACCCCAGAGCACCCCACCACCCCTACTGTAGAAGTTGCAGGTGTTAGGGTAAGAAGTGGGAAGGAGCTTGTGGGATGTCAGGACGCTGGAGGCAAGCGAGGTGGAGCATGGGAAAGGGCTTTGGGGTTTTTGAGCCAGGAGACAAGGCAGCATCCACAGTGTTAGTCCAATGGGTTGGACAGACAATGTCCGTCTAGCGTTTTGCCCGTGATGGTCTGTGCAGGCCAGGGAGATTCTGAGCTCTGGCCTCAGGAGAGGCTTAGCTGCAGTTTTAACTTCTAGGCTGTTTGGCCAGTGACCTGCGGAGGGCCCTGAATAGTCAGGCAGTGGGGGGAATCTAGTGGCCTTAGAAGACGAGGGCATTTCAGTAACCATCTCAGGCACTCTACATCACAGAGGTCCTGTTCCTGCTGATCATTCTGGATCTACCCCAGATCAGGAAGAGGTCAGAGGGCCAGACTCAGGGGTCAGCCCAGATAGGCAGCATGCAGGGAACAGAGCAGGAAAACCCAGTCAGGGAATAGGGGCTGTTGGCCCAAAGGTCTCTGGCAAGCACAATCTCTTGCGCTTTGCACAAACCTGAATTCCCTGCCAGAGAGGGTATGTGAAGAGTAAAAAAATGCTGAATCCAATTAAGAGAGAAAAATAATAAAAAAAAAATTCTCTTGGACAAGAACCCTGTTTTTTATTTCATAACCCCACATTCCTGATGGGGTGACAGATCCTGGGCTTTGGTGGGGTGGGCAAGCCTGGCAAAGCTTGACTCTGAGAACACAGCACGCTTGTTGGCAGAAGGAGCCAAAGGGAGCAGGGATACACTGACTCACAGGAACATACAAGAACGTTCTCTCTCTCTCTCCCTCTCTCCCACTTTCCCTCTCTTCCTCTCTCTCTCTCTCCCTCTCTCTCCCTCTCTCTCTCTCTCACACACACACACACACACTCGCAGAGCTCTTTCCCTCACCCACATAAGACACAACTCAGTTGCCACATTCTGGCTGCCCAGATCAGTACCACCATGTCTTTCCCGTTCCATGCTTGCTCCCAAGAGCCACAGCTGCTGCTTCTGGCATCACCAGGAAGGCAACAGCCAGTTCTTGGGCCTCAGGCATTTCCACAAGTCCAGGAATTGACCAGGATGATGGAGGCCTCTCTGGCATCTCTGCAGAGTGAGAGCAGAGGGCTGTTTTTAGCACAAGATCCAGTGCATTCACGAAAGGGAACCTTGTGCAGCAAAACACATCATTGTGATCCCACCACTGAGCCTGACATTCGCCTGCTCTTACCCAGGCCAGTGCCCATGTCCCTTAAAATTCAAGCAAGCTGTTATATTGTTGATTTCATTTCCAACCCCAGGCAGCAAGGCCCTCTGTGGGAAAATCAAAAGTCTGAGCACTTTATTAAATTTTTAAAAAAAGACTTAGCAAGTCCTATATGGAAGAGGTGATTGTCAGCGGAAGAACAGTAATGTCTCCTAAAGGCGCTGCTGCTCTGCGCCAGCATAAGCCCTGTAGCGAGGCTTTCCAGGCTGGGCAGTGGGGCCCAGGACATTGGGTATATTTTTAGAGCTTTCTCCCCCAAGAGGTAGAAGAAACGGAGGCTGTTGCTGATGACATCATTTGTCACTAAGCAGCTCATATGCTACGCAGTTAGAATGACACCATTGTCCCAAACATCAAAATGGTTGCTTCTCAGAAGTTACAGGGAACCTGTCTTTCGAAAGCCCAGCTACTTCCCCCATCAGCCATTCAGGGCAGGGCGCTGTAGAGCCCTGCTCCCCTAAAGGTTGGAGCCATCGTTTGAAGTTTGTGTATTTTTGGGTGGGTGTGGTGGGGAGGGGCGACAGGGCCTTGAACTCCTCATCCTCCTGCCTCTGCTTCCCAAAGTACTCACTCTTGGCTTCATGGAATTTTTATGGAAGGTTTTAGAGTGTAGGGAGATGTGCCAGTTGCCAAAGCCTGAGCACCTGAGTGCCAGTCCCCAGCAGGCACGTGGAACAGCTAAGGCTCTGCAGTCCTGGCACTATGGAGGCAGGGACGGGAGGGTCCTTGGGACTCGCTATCCCAGGCAGCTCGATGAGCTCCAGGTTCAATGAGACACCCTTTCTCAACAAATAAGGCGGAGACCTGCCAAGGTGGCTCAGCGGGTAAAAACACTTGCTTTGCAAACACAGACCCCACAGAAAAGGGGTAGGAGAGCGCCGAGTCCACAAAGATGTCCCCTGACCTCTGTGTGTGCCATAGCCCCCCCTCCCCACTCACACACCATCTAACACGCTACTAGTAATAATGAAAGTAACTTTAAAATAAGGTGGGGAGGGATTGAGGAAGAAACCTTTGGCCTCCACACACATGTACAAAATATATATCGCACACGCACGTGCACACACACACACACACACACACACACACACGCACGCACACACATGAACGCCAAAGCTTTGGTAAAAGAGTATTCTGCATGGTAAGCATTTTTCCAACACGCACACACATGCACGCACACCCCTGGGCCCTCCTTTCTCTTGCCCCTCCTGTCGCTCATTAGTCCCTTTTGTCTCCTTAGACAGTTTTACTTCTACTTTCTTTTTATATATATATAATTTATTTTTATTTTATGTCTATTGATTTTTTTTTTTTTTTTTGCATTCGTGTCTGTGTCAGGGTGTTAGAAGCTTTGGCACAGGAGTTACAGGTAAGTGTGAGCTGCCATGTGGATGCTGGGAATTGAGCCCAGGTCCTCCGGAAGAGCAGACAGGGCTCTTAACCTCTGAGCCATCTCTCCAGTTTCTTTTTTAAAAAAAATTATTTATTTATTTTAGATGCATTAGTGTTTTGCCTGCATGTATGTCTGCATGAAGGTGTTGGACCTCTCAACTGCTAAGCCATCCCTCCAGCCCCCTACTTTCATGTTATACAAACATACATACATACACCATGCTTTTATAGGGCTATATAAAATGTAAGAAATACAAATGAAAGAAAATATATAATATTTATTTTTGAGACAGTCTTACTTTACTTAATATTATTATTGCCAGTTGTTCTTTTGTTGTTTTGTCATTATTGTTATTATTGTTTGTTGGAGACAAAGTCTCCTGTAGCCTAGGCTGGTCTCAAAATAGCTATATAGCTGAGGATGACCTTGAACTCATGATCCCCCTAACTGCACCTGCTGAGTGTTGAGAGTGTAGGCAGGTGCCACCACACCTGAGTTAGGAAGTGCTGGGGCTTGAACCCAGGCCCTTGTGCATGCTAGGAAAGCACTCTGGCAACACAGTTACAGTTCTGCCATGTTTGCTCAGCACTTTTTGGGAACCCCGAGAGAGAGCCTATCCCTCTTATCCCCCCCCCCCCACCAGGCATTCTTCTATTCTACAGTGACAGAAGGCAGAGCCAGCCATGTGGAGACATGGGGTGGCCCCTGGCACCCTCACACAGGCTTCTTCCAGGACCCAAGGGCCTGGGTGGCTCTCTGCTGGTCATTAAACAAAAGGACCAGTTGTTGTCTAAGTGTTCGGGGAAAGTGAAAAAAAAAAACAGGCTATCTAAGTAGCTGAGAGCCGGGAGTATTCTCAACTGGTGGACAGCTGGAGCCCGTGTTACTGTATCCCCCCCCAAACAAGGGGCTCAGCTGGGGTACGAGAGCCAGAGAGGGCTTCCCGGAGGAGATGCTGCATCTCCTTAGAGGAAGGAGAGGCATCCAGAGGAGAGCGGCGAGTCTGCCAGACTGAGGGCCTGCCCAGGAGCTCAGGCTTTGGTCTCTATAAATGAGTGTGAATTAAGGATGGAGTGCAGTTTGCTGGGGTGCTGGGAGAGCAGTTAGGCGAGGGGGAGGCCCACGAATGAATGCCGCCCAGGGACTATAACTCCGCTTGGAAGCAAAGGGAATGTGAGACTCCCCTGCCTGGGCTCTTCTCCATGCCCCAGCCCCTTCATGGGCTGGGCTCCCCTGGCACCCATGCCACTGTTCCTCAACTGTGGGTTTCATCATCACCATTTGCCTTTTGTGCTCAGCCAGCTCCTTCCTTGTGCCAGAAAACTGGAGTGCTCACTGGAAATCTGCCTGGGCCACAGTCCCATTCCCAGACACCTGCTGCTTCCAAGCTTAGAATGTCTCCCATACCATTTAGCGTCCTCAGCCTGTGCTCCAGACTTTCCCCGCCCTCTGGGGCATGGCTCCTCCCTCAGCTGGCCAGACACCCCAGCTGCAGGGAGCCACAGGCACCCCCAGGACTCCCTCCTCTGAGCCCCCTCCCCTGCTGGACACGTTCATTCCCAGAGAGCCAAGAACCCCACGTGGCAAACGTTGCCCGTCATTAGCAAATCACCTAGTGCTCCACAGGCGGAGGGGCCCAGGAGCCTGGGAGCCTGGAAGGCTTTAGAGCTGAGTTTGCTGGACACTGAGTTGGGAACTGGAGTAGCAGCAAGGCCACACTACCTCCATTCAGACCCTGCCGTGAAGGACCTGACCACATGGCCCATATCTCTTCCACTCCGACACGGAAGAAGGCAGCCTTTCTTTTTTGAAAGAAAAAAAAAAAGTATTATTTTTTCTCATATGTGTGTGTGTGTGTGTGCACAGTCTAGGCTGGGCACATGCCACATCGCACACGTGGAGGTCATAGAACAACTCTGTGGGGGTGGTTCTCTCCTTCTACCTTTGGGTTTCAAGGATTGAGCTCAGGCCATCAGGTCTGAGTAGCAAGCGCCTTTGATTGCTGAGCCATCTGAAGCCCCTGTTCCCCCCCCCCCCCCCCCCCCCGTCTCTCTCAGTATCTGTCTCTCTGCCTGCCTGCCTGTCTCTCTCTCCCTCTCCTTCAGAGGTAGGGGACGGAAACAGGTTTTCATAGAGCTCAGCCTGGCCTTGAACTCCTGGTCCTCCGACCTCTATCTCCCAAGTGCTGGGACCACAAGTGTACACCATCATGCCTGGCTATGTCTTCATTTATTTGCTTATTTATTAAGGCAGACTCACCATGTAGCCCAGTGTGACCTTGAATGAATGGTCCTTTCACCTTAGCCCCCTGAGTGCCAGAATTACAAGTCTGTACATCCACGTGCAGATTATTTCTGGGCCATTTATTTCATTTTTTCTTACCTCCCTTCTTCTCAACCCTCCCTTCCTTCTTCTTTTTGTTGTTGTTTTGAAACAGGGTGTTGCTATGCAGCCCAGGCTGGGCTTATACTCATGGTGATCCTCCTGCCTCAGCTTCCTGAGTACTGGAATAGTAACCATTTGCCACCACACCTAACCTTATGTGCATTCTTTGTTTAAGGAAAGGCAAGGGCACATTTTACTGGGTCTCTTACAATACTGGGCCTCATGACCCAGCTATGGCCACACTCTAGGTCATCAACTCCTGGTCTGTCTCCCTCTGTTCTTCACCTTTCTTTAAGCAGTTCAGCCATTACTCCATCCATGTCACCAATCCCTAGCTATCAGCTTCTAATGGGCCAATTTTCTTTTACTTTCTGCCTTGGAAAATACCTCAAGAACCTTTGATTGGGTGTTAAAATACCCTTTACAATTCTGTGCTTGGTATCTCTTTCTGCTCCTTTAATTGCCCCTTTTAACTCACTGCACTTCCCATATAAATCCCCCCCCCCTTTTCAGGCTGTTAATAAATACAAGCTCTAAAAAAAAAAAATACATAAACATCTATTGTTGGCTAAATAA